ACACATTCAATTACAGTCCATCAGGTTCAATGTTGATGAGAAGTCCCTCATTTAAGTCTGACTATCTGACTTAGACATTTCATTCTAGAAGTCAAACAAATTAAAATGTTTGATGAACAACATAAAAATATTTTGTGTTTTACAATATGTTGAGATAACAAATTCCTTTATATTCATGTATATAAAGGAATTTTAAAAATATATAAAGTTCCATTGGTTTTTAATACTATTTATTAATACACAATTTCTAATTTCTCCTAATTATGGTCTAAAATGGCATGCACATGATAAAAAACAGCTGTTTTAGTTTGGATATATTTCTCATGCCTCTTTAACTGTCCTCTCATGATAAAAAAAAAACACTTGATACTCAGAGAGTAGATCTCTATAATGATTTTTAAAAGTTCATAAGGGGGGATGTTGATTACAATATTTCACAAGATCAAAAACATAGTTATAACACATTTAGTTCACACTACATCCAATTTTCAATTTTAACAGTTATTGTTGCTTTGTTTGTCCTTGAAAATTAGTTACAAAGGACACCATATCTTTGGCAATGTGAAACACCACAGCATCTAATGTCTTATCATTGGGCCCCTTCTTCTCATATGGGATACAATGGGCTCTTTGCCAAACTGTAACATGTTGTTTGTAATAACTATTTTAGACAGAACCCCTTTTAATATACAGTAGTATCTGTGGCTGAAGAGAGTTGCCATTGTTTTTAAGTCTGCCTGTCCCATAGTCCCTAAAAGTGTCCCTAAATCCCTCTATGAAGGTATGTCTGTGGAGTCTTTTGGAGGGGAAATCCCTGCTACAGAAAGGTGAGATAGCATTTGTCAAATTACCTCAGAAGGTCATAAGAGTGATAGAACTGCTACTCTGTGTGAGAATAATTTACCATAGAGGTCATCCAAAATCAAACAGTTTATTGCTCATAAAGAAAGTAAACTTGTTCAAGACTCCTTCAAGCCCCAGTAGTGGGTCTAAATTTGGTGCCCGATGAATATGACACCCTGCTGAGGCTACAAGTGGGGGGAGCTGAGTGGATAAAGACAACAATTTCCTCCGGGCCATGCAGGAAGTCCTTAATAAGCCCTCCCACAGTATGAACATGTAGGGTCTGCCCCAATTTCTACACTTAATGGGCTTAGCTGGTACTCAGGCAGTGTTGTAAATAACAAGAAATACAAGTCGGAACTACACTACTGCTGTCAGGTAGACCTGCAGAGAATCTCCAGGATGCAGAGAGCACCCAATAAACTCACTGAACCACAGTTTCCTTTAGATAAAAGCTGTCCAAAAACACAAAGGTGCTGCTCACCTGCAAATATACACATCATATTTGTATCCCTCTGTAGACACCATGTGTTACACTGATTATTCTGCAGATTTGTTTTAGTGGGCCCCTTATTCAACTGTGCTAAGGTATTGAATGTGTGGCATTTAATACAAACCCATTAAACGTTGAAAGGATATTCCCAATGTTACCATTCATTGCTGTGAATGTCAAACAGCAGTATTTGTAATTCGAATGATAATTTTTTTGTCCAACAATGTATTGGTATTTGTAAAATTCACTTGCTAGAGATGTTACAGTAAAACCTAGTTTCATAACTGAGTTAATCACACATAAATTCCCAAGACTGTCAGTTTATCACGATTGTGGAAACTAACGTGCTATTATGACATGACTGTACAAAATCCCTGAGGGTTTTACTTCAATAAATAAATTCTTTTATTACAAAACAATAAAAAAAACATACTGCAAATACTGTTATATAATTTGTTTCTACATCCTACTATTGGCTGGTTGCAGCCATGATGCAAATCATTACGTACATGGTTTTACATCTCTAGCTGTAAAACAGGTAAATCATTAGGAATATCAGTTCAGTTTGAATCATCGCTGTTAGGTAGGATTAGACATGACTGGGGTCTGACCCTACATAAGTCTGGAGACGTTTACTACCCCGGTGGGAAAACAAAAATATTTCAAGTGAAATTTCACGTTGATGGAACATTTTCAGTTTTGGCACACACACCTCAGAAAACAACTAATATTAGTCAGATCGATATTAGCTGCCTGGTGGATTGTCAATATAACTAATACAAAAGGCACAAAAAAACTTGAAATACTACAAATGAAATATTATTTTCAAGGTATAAAAAGTTAAAAGTAAAGCAGTACTGACTGAGTTTCTTAGAGCTGCTGGCTGACAATCCATGTCCACTAAAAATTCACAAAATGTGCCAAAATGAAACATCACTTTAAAGGAATAGTTTGACATTTTGAGAAATATGCTTATTTGCCTTCTTGTTGAGCGCTTGAGAAGTTCGATACTATACTCATGTCTCTATGGTAAATATGAAGCTGGAGTCAGCAGCCAGTTAGCTAGTTAACTTAGCACAAAGAGTGGAAAAAGGGGGAAACAGATAATTCACCATCTTATGATGGGTTTATACACCGGACTATCTCTTGCAGTAACTTTCTGGAGTATCTGCTGGTTGGCTGGCTATTGCTCCCACACAAGAAACAGTCTGCCACACAAACCCCCGTAAAACAGCAAATTATTACTTTTGCACTTGGGTTTTTATACCGATCAAACAAACGAGATATAATAGATTAATTTGTGACCTTTAGAGGTGAATTTGTTAACTGTGAACACAGCCTGGCAAGCTGTTTTCCCCTATTTCATCTCTTTATGCTAAGCTAACCGGCTTCTGGCTGTATTGTTTCATATTTACCTGACCAAAATATCAAACTGTTCCTGTAAAGATATAAGTAAAACTAATAAGTTGGTGCTCTAAAATATTAGATGAACACTGCCACCGTTTACATATTCACTGATAATACAGAAAAAACAACACCATTTTCATTATGTCAAATTGGTATAAGGGAAAATACTTTCAAATGGCAATTATTGACAATGGTTATGGAAATAGTAAAGTCTGTTCAAGATATTTACAAAGTGTCATTGCCAGCAGGGCAGGTGTGGTGGGCGGTGTAAGTCCTCTCATGATGTCCTGGTCCGTAGAGAGCTCATTCTGAGCACAGTGAGCTCGGCTACATCTGCATCCTGCATCTCCACCTCTTGATGGCAGCTTTCTCTGATTACATACACTACGAGACCCACACAGATGAAAATGAGGAGGATTATGCCTATAACCTGGGGTACACAAAAAGGAAAGCAACACTTTGGTTAGTAAACATCCACAGAAAATGTGTATTTTTGATTAACAAAGTCTATTAACGGTGCTATATAGTTTCCAACTTGCATTACATTATGGACATATTCTCTCCAGAGCATACTCTGAGAGGGAGTTGTTTCCACTCCAATCATCCTACATAATCTTCTGTAAAGTAGAAAATATTCAACTCACCTGAGAAAAAACAAACAGCTGTTGCGAACGGAGCATTAGTTCTTGTGGGGTGACATCTCCCTCACTAATTGGCTCACACCACTTCTGCGGAGCTGCCTTGTCAACTAGTACAAATCTACCCTCCCAGTCTGTCATAGCACAAGCAAAGTATTGGCCATCGAGGAACAACAAAATCAGCCACACGATAGCAGGAACGAAACTGGAGAAGGAAACAGTTTTCCTGCACCACGGATCACATCTGCATCCTTGAATGATCAGCATCAAGGTGAAGGCCATGACGGCAGGAATGATGAAGAATGCTGATGAAAATACTCCGTTCCATGTAGGGTTGCAAGGACACTCAAACTCCAGCTCCACCAGCTTCTCTAGTCCCATGAGGATAAAGCCAAAAGCCACATTTGATACCAGAGGACTGTTGCTAAGTTCATTTTTCAGCCTGGTAAGCCATTGTTGTCTACTTTCCATACTAGATTGACCGAAAAAAGAAGACAATCGTTGTAAAAAGCCCAAAAGAGGGTCCACCGTTGTGAACACATTGGCAACAGCTAAGTGATGCGTAATTAACTCATCCAGGGGTAAGTTTTCCCCTCGGGCAAAAGGCCACACTTCCACTCTGATTGGTTTTGAACAAAGGAGGGTGTGCCGTCTGCTCTGACATTTCTCTAGCTGATTGGTCTGTGTGAGATTTCAGGTGGGGTTACATTTTAAATGTGGTCTCCCATGGACAAACTGGAGGGAGGGCTGTAAAGTGGAGGGAAGTTTGTTCTGCAGTTGAGCACAGACTGGCCATTTGCAATAGTCCAACAAAAAAACAATCATAGAGGTGCAGGCCTTTATGAGGACAAGCCTTTTGACTGAAGTCTCAAGTTACACAAGCTCGACAAAGGGAGGAACTGTTACAATTAAAAAGATATCTAACTAAATAAAGGCCAATGAATTTACCTCATATAAGTTCAAACCTTGCTCTAAATGTATCAAGTGCTCAGGTGTTTTGGGTGCATTTGTTTCAATAGTCTGCAATAAAAAAATGAGATAAATGCTGACTCTTTTTTGTTTTCCTCAATCAGCCACATGAGGTCGCCCATGTAGCAGCACAGATTAAGGATAGAGAGGATTACAGGAGGCCATGTTGAACTTTCAAGGGGATGTGGTACATACAGTTTGAGAACACCAAGGCCACTGATGTGATGACATAATTTATAAATGACCTCAGTGAGCTCAAGAGCATCACCATAATCTCCTCACATTAAAACCTGATAAAAGAAAGTATTTAGGCACAGTGAAACAGGCTTGGAAAGATATGACTGGTGAAAACTGCGGCTGGATTCCTTTCAGTTCATCTGCATAATCACTGCAAGTTTTTAAATGTAAATCTCGCCTGTCACTTAGTAGTACTGCATAGTTGGTGACAAATCTGACCTGGCCACTGGGGATAAACAAGCTGACAATTTATATTTACATTAATGTTTGCATTGCGCTGTTGAAAAGGCTGACACAAGGCAGGTTCAGTAAATACTGTCTGAGCAGGAACAACCTCCTCCAAATGGCAGATGATGAAAATGTGCACCTCCCACCTCATCAAAAAAGCTTATCCGATTATAAGGAAATGAAGACTGAGGAGGGACATAATAAGTGCTCGAGTTCACAAACAACAGCAATTACATATGTGTTATAGCTCTCTGTGTGTGTGTGTGTGAGTGTGTGTGTCTTGTGTATTTATCCACAGTCGTGAGCGCATAGGGCACGCGCAGCTTGTCGTTGCTGCCGTTGGTGTCCTACCAGCATCTGCTCCTCTTTTTGGACCAGACTTATGTTTCGGCTACATCACTTCCCGCTGGGAATAATTTGTGCGCTACTTTAATTTTAACCAGCGAACCGCGTCCGCGAGAGCGCAAATGCGCATCGGTCTGCGCATCTTTGAATCTTCAGAACTACACTGTGGACAATCTCCCTGACATCCAAGGACCTCTCCTCCGCAATCCGACGAGGCTTCTTCACCGCCTATGGCCGCACATCGGCATCCCTGAGCCGCTGGCCTCGTCCCCGGACCTTTCACCCATCGCTGTCCTCGAAAGGTCTTTGAATCGAGGGAGACGTCTGCATTTTTTATTTATTTTTTTTATCAACCCTCCTCTGCTGACTATTTTTTTTTTAAAGAACCAGGTGCTATGCTGGGCCCATCTCTGTAGATCTTGTGATTAATACACGATCTCTCCTCCCACATTCGTCCGACCGAGACCCTGGTACTCTCACCGAGCCCCGACAATGCATCCTAACGCAGTGATGCTGGCGGTGGTCCTTCTGTGGAACTTGATGCTGCCTTTCATCTCGGCTCAAAACGGTAAGAAAGCGAATGTGACCATGGCATGATTGTAAACATCGCGTTGAGGGAAAGTGACTTGACTTGTGTGTAGACGCCCGAGCGAAAATGTTTCCAGAGGGGATTTTGAGAATGACTGCGTTAAAGCTACTACTATAGGTAGTTACACGCATCCCGACAACAAGGCCAGAGTTAGACCCCATCAAATCTGATTCAATAACTGACCACATAATGCAACCTTTTACGCAAACTCTCAACTCAGAAAACAGCAAGAAAACTGACGTTGTTGTGACATTTTTGCAAGGTTATTTACTGTCAACTGAGTGTAGTGTAGGTGTGTCTGTAAGGGGAATAAACTGACACTTTCGGGCTAGAGGAATACGTGTTTAATCTTCCTTTACAGACAGTGGGATGTGTTGCTGAGGGTTGTACCTTCGTGGAATTAGTTGTGAATATTTATATAAAGAAGTAGCCTATGGTAGCCCTGGGCTGCTAGTGTGCAGTTTGTTCAAGGGGGTTGGGTAGAAGAGTGTGTCAAGCAAGACTAACCTGCTCTGGATGCTGATCTAGAAACATATTATCAACACCCAACACAGGCTAAAGGCTCGCCCAGTGTGTGCTGTAAATAGCTACTGTAAATACAAGGCCCTTCTGTATCACACAGTTGCTTGGCCTATGCATCTGTTTGACAGAATTACTCCATTATTATAGCACATTTCCCCTTAGGCAAGCCTGTGTGGGTCTTTCCTTCTTACCCAACTGGTCAGTCTGCATTTTATTTTGCAAAACTAAATGCATAGACAAATGGCATCCCTATTCCCTTTTTCTGATTATCATGTTTGGCATGTTTGAGCACCAGATGTTTAAGATTTCCAAATATTCAAAGAAAAGGAAACACAATTTGCTAGATAAGAGATTCAGATCTGCAAAGATTCATTTGCGACTTTAATTTCAAAGGTTCACTGTGCATTAATCATAATAAAACTCACATAATTTGGTTTAAATAAATGTCAGTAGCGTGCTGTTGGGGGTTCCAGGCTGTCCTCTGATGCAGCACTGTCCTGACTTCAAATTCTGTTGAATCACATCACCCAGAGGGCCACACAAATCAGCCGCCATTCATGACATGGAAGTGGAGTCTGTTGAATTTTTCTTTTTTCAGTTTTTAAAATAACCTCAGTAGGTCCTGTGAACAACCTTGACAAGATTGTGAAGATGTTGGTGCTTTAATATAACAATATAATCACTGCTTGTATTCATATCATATAAGAACCTTCTATACCCACACATCAAGGACCCTGTGCAGACAAATCAATATCACTGACATGATCCAACCCCCCTTCAGAGAGAAATAAGGCAGAGCATTACTCTGCATACTTAAAATCTTAATGCTTAATGTCCACCATGTCTTTTCTGTGGGATAATCAGACACCCACTATGCAAGACTTAATAAGACATTTATTTTGATGATAGGATGAGAAGGTTGTGTAAAGCCTCAGTCCGGCAGTGCCTTTAGGGATTTATTTTTGCAAATATTTGAAATGAAAAATGTTCAGGATTATTTCAGTCTAAATAACTAAAGACATGTAATATATGAGAACAGTTTGTACTATTTTTGTGTTATACTAGTAATATGAAGAAATCAAAGAAGCACAATAAGAAAAATCAAGATTTCTTACAAGAAAAGCAGAAGCAACCTACGTCTTCAGCTTGTGAGGAGACAAAAAAACTAAAACACCACAGCAGTTATGTAACAAAATATTATCCCCTGAATTCCTTCCTTTCTTCTTTGTTAATTTCTCAAAGGTGCTTGAAGTGTGTGCGCGCACAGTGAGGCATTCTCTGATCTCGCTATCTGGAAAATCAAATACCCAATAATCCCTCTATTGTTTGATAAAGCTCAAGCAAAGGCATTCCAAACACTTCCTGTGGTCTTTGCCCAGTGTTAGTGCCCACTCACTGAGGCCTAGTTCACACCACAGAAACACACATACAAAGAGACACACACATACAGCAAGGGGTCAGTGGGAGACAGACTGGTGCCACCCAGTCACTAAATGTGTCTGTGCTGGATCTGTTTTATGTAGAAATCCTAAATTCATAGCTAATCTACAGACACCCTGCATTCATTACAGGGCTGGTCCCAGTTGTAATAAGCTACAGATAGTGTTTAACACTGTTGGTAATATTCTGATATTTGCTCACACTGCATGCATCCAAAAGCCATTTCATTTCTCTCTCACAGTTCAGATTAAGGGTAATCGGTACATGGCTTCTTATGCAATCCTAGATTCTCTTGTGATATTACAGAGTTCAGGCAGTGGCTTGGGGAGAATAATAATTATAAGTGCATGAAATGTAATCACTGTATCTGGGAAGCAGAGGGAATTCATGCTATTATTTCCTCGTGTTCAGGGAAGAGTAGTCCTACTATAGGTGGCCGGTTTCTGCGACAGATATTCGCAGAACTGTAAATAGCATCCGTCCATTCTGCCTCATTTCTATTTTTATCACCGAGACACAGCACTGAGAACTGTGGCTTTAAGGTCCTTTTGTGAAAGTGAATTCATTAACTCTTAATGGACGGCCTCCTTGTGCACAGCTGCACAGCCTTCTAAAGACTCGCTAGGTGGCTGTGAACTATTTAAGCTGATGTGATCTTTATGCAAAGAAAAGAAAGACTGTTGAGAAGGTGGCTGGGGCTGACCTGAGGAAGTGCATTTGTGTCTTACATAATTTCCCTCTACGAAGCATGTAGACTGCTCCTGCTGCAAACTTTGCTGCTGTTATAACTACCAGTGTAAGTCGAAACACAGAGATCATGTCGAGACAACCTTTAGAATAATGAGCCAATATCATTATTGCTGTGTTAAAAATGTACTTTTTGTATTTGATGGTTACAGCACTTTAGCAGTTGCTTAAGACTGAGCACACAAAACAGCAAAGATTGCTTCTTGTTAAGATTACATAATCAAAGTATAAAGACATGATGTAGAGGAAGATATGCCCACATGTATTGTAATAAGTAATGCAATTAAAGTGTGCATTTATTGTAAATATGTGATGCTTTAATTATTTTTCATGTTACTTATGCATTCTCATCAACAGAGGCCAAGATTGCATTTTAAGATAAGCATGTTACAGCTCTGTACATACCATTCAATCAGAAGACCTATATTATGCAGCAGCTTGTCTGTTATCACGTTTCTGCCCAGGCTCTGGACAAAGGTACATTCGTGAGTCTGGAAAATATGCTGTAGGACTCAAGCCAGCACTTACACTGAGTCATGCTGGCCCACTGTGAAATCTGATATGGACTGCACTGATTAGGAGCAGCATCACACAGTATAAAGCACACTGCAGGTATATGCTGATGCATAACTGTAAGTTGAGCAATGATTTTTATTTAATAGTAATTTGTCCAGGGAAGGTTTTTGCTGAATGTGCATGTTTTTTTTTTCAGCACCACCCAGTTTCACATTCATACCGTTACACACATTCACAGCTGGAAGTTCCCCAATTTAGCCTCAGCCCAGTACCCCTGGATGTGCGAACAACTCAAGTGTGCCACACAAGGGCAGCTCAGAGACAGACTACTCAAAAAGGTTACTTTCATTTATACCTGGCCCAGTTTTTCCCATCGGTCTGGGTATTTTAACTAGTGACCTAGCAGACACAACCCAGAGGCTTATGCCAGCTGATAGTCAGCATACCAGTCATTTAATCTGACAAATAATAATACTTTGAAGTATATAGGAGGTTGGGGAATAGGATTCGTCACCCCTACAAAAAACAATTAGTAGTGGAAGAGACTCTCCTGGAGGTATGGTTCTTCTAATTTTAGAATTATTGTGTTATTTGGAGGATGACAGTCAGTGTACTGTGACTTTGTGCTTCTCTGGTTTTACATAAAATCATTTGAATTCCCTTGTTTTGACCTCTGAAAGAGAAATAGGAAGTGCTCTCTGGTCGTGATTAGAGGATGGGATTAGAGCATTTCTACCCAGCACAGGGGTTATTGGGATTTAAATCTCATTAAACTGTTGCCTCTCTTCTGTGATCTGAATGACAGACTCAAGTATTACCAGTAAAATGAAAATGGTCGGTCAACACCTCCTTTTTCTGGAAATTCAGCTCCATTGCAGTGATATCAAATAGGGTATATCGCTGATGTGATAAAGTCAGTGAGGGAAACTATTATCACTCTGTCATCAGTGTGTTCAAGCTTTACATCATCACAGCCTCTTTAACAAAAATGTATCTGCACGCTACATATCATAACTACAGAGTGTATTCCAAATGTATTGTAAGTTCTTATATTAATGCTTCATGAATCATTTTTCTTTGCAAATAAAGTGTTATTTTGAACTATTATTATAAGAGTAGATCAGAATGAAATGTAAATTTAGTTGTTAACATATACAATGACTTCTATACATTTAATAGCATTTTTCCTGTATGATAGGCAAATATCTATATCACTATATTTGCATTGTTTGTAGGGACAGATCTGGTGTTTTGCATGTCTTAGCCTCTTAACCAAAATCTATGACATGTACTTCACATTGCTGCTGATGTTATTATTGACCATTTAGTGATTACTTACTGTCCATGCATACATTGCATTCATTTTAACATGTACATGAATATCGACATGCAGATTATACATGTAATTCATTGTAGTATTTTATTATTATTTTATTTTTTATGTAGAAGAATTTTTTAATTTCTTGGCAGTGTGGTTTTGGTAATTCAGTTGTGAGCAGTGTATGTTTTTAGCTGCCAAACAGCAACCATTTTAATATCAGTAAGTACCAAACTCAGTGTACTGTATTGTTTGGCTTCTGGGATTTTCAAGCAACAAAGCTGTGGATGGCATGTTTTTTTTAAACAACCAACTGTTAAACCTGTTTGTACAAGAAAAACTAGAACAGGAAACAGGATAGAGGATGTCAACCTATGTCGAACATGCTACTAGTTTCAGAAGGGTGATTTTTAGTACTTGACGGAAATGAATAGAA